TTTTTTTTAAGAAATAAAATTGATTAGGCCTTGCTTGTTTACAACTGTACCTGAAAAAAAAATTCAATCTCAATTTAATTTAACTCAACCTCGCTAGCATTAATATTATTAATATAATTAAATAATATCAATTAATCATCTTTACATATCACATCAATTTTTCGTTCATTATTCATCCACTAACATAATTTTAATTATCTGTTACTTCAAATCATACATCTCATAGTTTTACATCAAATCAATTATAATTATTTTATTTTAAATTTTATTTAATACAAACTTAAACTATCACTAACAATTAACCATAAAAAATTTTCAAAATTAACAACGGTTTACAAAAAAAAAAAAAAAAAAATCAATCAAATATCAATCAATATATCTTTAAATAAGCAAGCCCAAAAATGCTAGATTCCTAAAAAAATGTATATTTGGAGTACTCTATAGTGCATTATAGACCTAAATATTGCACATGATCGAATTTCATTTGCATGTCTTGCATAATATTTTGTAACATCATATGAATAATAAGAAAATGTTACGATTCCGTTATTATACTATTCTGTCGGGTGTTTTAACCTTTTGATACACAGATTCAACGGTTTAATCACCCGACGAGATGGTACCGTAACGGAACTATACCATTTCCCATAACAATAATACGTATGATTTACTTTTAAGGCCTCATATGATTACCTTATAATTCAGATACACCCCTTCTAATTTATATAAATATCAGAAACAACCCGCTACTGTTGATTTTGAATCAAACCTCGAAGCAATTATTTTTTATCTTTATTCTTTCCTTTGAATTAATTAGATCAAAAATCAAAATTAATTTTTTTTTTTTCTCTTTCTTTGACCACGAAAAATGTTTTTATACAGTCAAAGCAAAACTGAGTTGGCCCAATTTAATATTTTCCTCATTTTAATTGAAAACATAAGCTTTTTTTTTAATGTAAAAAGGGTATAATGAAAATGTAGCCTTTAATTAAATTATATTGAATTTTAGGTTCTTCTTTTTCTATCTTCATAACATGTTGTTAGGTTGTTCCAGGGTGTGGTGGTGGCCGGCACGACTTCATAATGATATAATAATATTATTATACACCTAATAGCTAGCTACTTATAAAATTCTAAAACATATGCATATTTTAATATTAGACTATTATATTATCAAAATAAAATGAACAATATAATGATATTTTAAAATCTAATTAGTTTACACTTTTGTTCCAATAGCGTGATGGATTGACCCGCCTAACCGTTAGACTGCAGCTAACATTACTTATGTTCCTAATTTTATTGGTAAGTGTATGATAAATTGATAATAGTAAGTAGTGATGTGAGAGTTCTATGTAATGCAATTTTAATCGTATATGTTTTTTTGGTCTATATTGATGTATTTTTGTCGAATCATGCTACAATGACATAAAAGGTGACATAATAACACGCGTTATTGTCTTTTTAATTCACATATTTCATTATTTTTAAAATCGACAGCTATATGGGTTTATTTTATACTAAATACATTATATTGAAAAATTAATCATAAATTAAAAAAAATAGTAAATTCAAATTTTTTATATCACATCATTAAAAATAAAATAAAAATATATTACGTTGAAATAAAATAATTGACTGAAAATTTTCTAGAAGTCTAATGAGTAGATTTAGATCAATTATTAATATCACATACCCTAAAATACAAATAAAAACCACGAATGGTAAAAAAAATACCATAAGAAAATAAGAAAAAAAAATAAGTAAAAAGAAACATTCATTTAGTAACGATATATATATATATATATGTATATATATATTGTGGGAAATAATACAATTTTAAATAAATTTAAATATTTTTATATAGATATAGATACTAAAAACTATGCATAGTATTATAATTGTTATCTTAAGAATACCACGAATATTACAAATTAGACCATTGCATAGTATTATAATTGCTATTTTAAGAATACCACCGATATTACAAATTAAACCACTAGTATCATATCGATGACTAGATTGGTGTGCCTATCATTTTTTTTTCTCTTTCTAAAATGATAGGCTTTTGTAAAAGTTAACATTAACACATAATTACATTTAGAACTCGACCAGAAGTCGAATCTAGTCAGAGGACTTCCTTTGCAGCGGCCTAGACTACCGCAACACACCCCGATAATAATACATACTCTCAACAGAAAAATACATATATACTCCCAACAAGAGAATACGAATCCAAAAAGGATAATAAAAACTAAAAAACACAAAAAAGACACTTTGTCCACACACACAAAAACTAAAAACAGACAAAAGCCCTTCTCGCATGCGGTAAAAACACACCAAACAAACCACGACAACAACACCCAAGGCCGACCACCTATATAGACTGGATCTCGCCCCAAGTCTTAGATCCAGAAATTGCCACAAAAACATAACTGAAGCTAACATCCATGAACTCGACCCCACGCCCAGGCGAAAAACCCCACCCCTTAGCCGGAGAAAACTAAACTAACCCCCACCACACCACCATCCCGAGCCCAGCTCAAAACACGGTTAGGCCCGACTCTCGGGCCATCCCCTCGCCCACGCACTAGGGGCGAAAGGGACAAGTGGGAGAGCCCACTCTCCTTAGCCCCAACCACCCGAACAAGACGTCGGAGCCACGCCCAGGAACACCAATGCCTTCCGCTGCTACGCCGACCAGATGATCGACAGCCTCCGGCCCTGTAAGCCGATCTGAGAATTCGGCGAAACCCTTACGTGCCCAGTCGTTCGAGCCGCCCAGCCGACGCTAGAAGCTCGACATCTGCTTCAAGAGTGAGAGAGTTGCGCGCCCGAGGGGTGGTCGCCGTCGAGAGCCCGACGACCCATTGGAGAAGGCCAATTAACGCTTAAAAGTTTAGGGCAAAGAAAAGGGGGAAAAAGGGGAAGTGGAGAGAGAAAAGAGATTTTTCTATTCTTTTTCTTTGTTTATCATTAGTATGGATCTCGTGTAATGCACGGATAAACAATAACAAATAATGTATGATGTATTTAAAACATTAACATTTGCTATTCCGAAAATTTCACCGATACACTAATTGGACCTGTAATACCATACCAATAATTAGGTTGGTATAACCACCGTTAAAAACACTAAAACCGAATAGAATCTTAAAGTTAAATAACATATGGTTGTATGTATTATTAGGCCGATTAATTAAATATTTGACCTAAATATAGTTTGCACACGAATTCAGTTTGCATGTCTTGCAAGCTTTACACAATAATGGATTAGTGGTCACAACCTTGGCCATAATTTTTTGTTAATATCATATGAATAATACGTATGACTTACTGTTGAGGCCTCATAATGCTACGGTGCTGTTACAGAATTATTCGGTTGGAGTTTGTAACCGTTAGATCATCATGTAACCGTCAGGGATAATTGATCTAACGATTACAAACTCTGGCGGAATAATTCGTAACGAGACAGTAACATTTCCCATATCATTACCTTAATTCGGAGATACTCCTAATAATTTATATGAATTACTTTTGAGGCCTCATATCATTACCTTAATTAATTCGAAGATACTCCTTCAAATTTATATAAATATCACAAACAACCCCCTACTTTTGAATCAAACCTCAAAGTCATTATTTATTTTTATTATTATTCCCTTTGAGTTAATTAGATAAAAAAAAAATCAAAACTGGAAAAGTTTTTTTTATTATTAATTTTTTTTTTATTCTTTGACCACGAAAATTATATTAATCTATAGTTAAAACAAAGTTGGGTTGGTCCAAGTTATTTGCAACTGGCGTGACCATTTCTCAAATGATGGCTTTA